AACAGTGAAGTCTTTCGGAAGCCTTGAGTTTTGTCAGGTAGGCATTTTAAGGAAGCCAGGATCATCCTGGGAATGCACCCTTGAACTGTCAGAAACCATGTTAGTGTTTGTCCAAGCCCTTATAGGCGAGGATTAAGGCCTAATCAAGAAGAGAGCTCAGAAGAACCTGGCTAAAGTTTGGTCAAGGAGAGAATCTTTGTCACCATGTCATTAAAGGGCAGATCCAAAACAAACAGTAATTCCTGAGGGTCTATCTTAAAAATAGAAAATAATCTCACCATTTCTTACCATGTTAACAGCAGCACCCTGGTAAGTCACCGTCATTTCTAAATTACCAACAGGTTGCTAAGAGGTCCCCTTGCCTCTACACTAACCCCTTCAGTTCACTGTCAACAGAGTGATCCTTTGAAAATAAGTTATACCATATCTCACTAAGGCTCCAACCTTTAAGTGTCTTCTTATATCATCAGAGTACAAAATAAAGTCTTTACAATGACCCATAAAAGCTCTACTGATCTGCTCCAATATTCCTGCACTGTAACCACTCTCATGACTTCCACTCTAGCTCAATCCACACCAGATGCACTGACCTCATTCCTGTTTCTTAAACAGGTCAGCAGCCTTCTGCCACAACCCTAGTTCTGCCTGGAATATTCTTCCTATAGGTCTAATAACTACATGTCTAACTCATTCATGTCCTTTAAGTCTTTGCTCAAACCAAACCTTCATAAAGAGGTTGCTTTTAGCATCCTATTTAGTACTGCAACTTACTTTGTCACCTCTCTAACCCTACCCATTTTTATTTTCCTCTTGTTCCATAGTTTTTATCATCTTCTAACATACTATATAATGTACTCATTATCTTTACTTATTATTGTCTGTTCTTCCTGTTAGAATATAAGCTCCAACAGGGCAAGAGCATCTCCCCAACACCACTGCTGGATTTTATTTTTTCTTCACTAAAGTAGTTTTACATTGTGAATGTTCAATTGATATTTGTTGAATAAATAAATTTATTGATCTAAGTAAACTTTCTTAGTGATATAAAATAAGCTCCATGAATGTTGTTTTTCATTAGCTGGGTATAGATATATGTCTTGTTATAATATTTGGCATAGAACATAGAAATTATTTCTATGAGATAGGTAGGCTCTGTTCTGAAGCTGAAATTTGCTGAGGAGCAGTAAATTTTACTCTTGTCTCTCATGGTCCTGTTTCCCCACCTATAAAGAGAGGGAGAAAGAAAATACCCACATAGAGGGAAAAAGATAATGAGGTGGCAACAAATAGAAAAGGGGACCATAGTTACATCAGTGATTATATTGTACTGATAAATGTACTGGATAACTGAATATCTAAACTTATAATAAGACCAAAGACCACCAAGAACTGGAAGAAATATCACAAGTAGATATAATCATGAAAATGTAGTGATCAGAAAGCACAGATGCTATGTAAGAGAAATAATTATATTGGCAAATCTTAGTAAAAAACATGCATTTTCTTGTCTATTTCTCTACTTATTGATGTGCCATTTTCTACTCTTTAAACCCTTTCCTCTTATAATGTAAACTAGAAGCCCGGTGCACGAAATTCGTACACGGGTAGGGTGCCTAGGCCTGGCCGGAGATCAGGGCCGATCAGGTTCCCTGCCTCACCGTCTCCGTGACTCTTCCTCCCTTCGCTCCCTCAGCCCCTCACTGCCACAGTTGGTCCCCACCATGTTCCGTACCACCCCCTGGTGGTCAGCACATATCATAGCAAGCAATCGAATTCCCAGTCTCCCAAACTCCCGAGGGAGAACAATTTGCATATTAGCCTTTTATTATATAGGACTAGAGGCCCAGTGCACAAAATTTGTGCACTGGTGTGTGTGTGTGTGTGTGTGTGTGTGTGTGTGTGTGTCCCCTCAGCCCAGCCTGCACCCTTCTGCAGTCCAGGGCTTTCACAGTACAGAACCCCTCGCTCCATACCACTTGCCTGCAGTGGAGGTGGGAGAGGCTCCCGCCACTGCTGCTGCCCTTGCCAGCCATGGGCCCGGCTTCTGGCTGAGTTGCATTCCCCCTGTGGGAGCTCACTGACCACCAGGGGGCAGCTCCTGCATTGAGCATCTGCCTCTTGGTGGTCAGTGTGCATCATAGCAACTGGTTGTTCTGCCAGTCATTCCACCATTTGGTCAATTTGCATATTAGGGTTTTATTATATAGGATAATTTTATTATATTTTGAAAAAGTTTGGTGGGGTTAGTAAGGGAAGCAGAAATGCATTGTTTAATAGACCACATTCTGCAGCCAAATTTCCTGGGCTTTAATCTCAGCTTTGCTATCAACTATGCAACTATGGGCAAGTGATTACAACTCTTGACCTTACTTTATGCATTTATACAGAGGAGATAGTAATAGTATATAACTGATGGAGTTATTTTGAGGAATAACATCTCACAACACACAGTTCCTGTTATATGGTATTCACTCTATAGTTATTTTCATATAATAATGAAGTATTTTCTGAAAAGATAAATGTACAATTTAAAATTGTTTGTATACACTACATTTTAATAAAATTATATTGTTCATACAATACTAACTGAATCATGGAGGCAAATTTTCATTACTAATATTTTTTAAAAATTCTTTGTACACTCATTTGAATTTTTAAATTCCTATGCTACAAAATTTTTAATTTGAAATATTAGGTTTAGAGAGAGAGAGAGATACTGCATACTGGAGTGTTAGAAATCCTTTCTGTATCTCATATGGTAGTGTACTGGAGGTAAAATAATTTCCCCTTTACTCTTTTGAGTTCTGGATTGAGATCAATCTCTGTAATAAAAAACAGATTAACAAGAGAAAAAGCTCAGAAGTTTATTGACATGTATCCTCATGTATACATTGGAGATACCAAGGGAAAAATGAATAACTCTCAGAGGATAATTAGAACTTCATCTTAAATACCATCTTCAGCTAAAGAGAAAAGAAAAAGTGTGGAGAAGACTATAGGAAGGCTACTAGGAAAAGCAGAATAAATAAGTGCAAGATTTGTTATGTAGATTTAAGTCTCTACTTTCTCCATTTCTAATGTTGTCTTGCAGTATGAGGAGGGTCACTTTTATAAACTTATGTCCTGCGTTTAGGCAAATAGCGGGAGAGCAGAAAGTTTTTCTTATTTTTTTTCAATTGTTTTCAGTAAAAAAAAAATTATTATATGAAAGTGGCATATTGGGGAGTGGCATATTCTGCTACCCTTTAATAGGAACTCTGGGTAGCTCTTTGTCTAAGAGATAAATTGCTAAGAACTATGAAGGATCTGTTATTTTATCCTATTTGCAAACTACTAAGTAGCCTGCTACAGTTTCATAGAAGTTGACAAAAGGCGTGAGATTCCTCTGTAGGAGACAAAGGACTTGATTGCTCACAGCACAATAGGGAGCATGCACTTCAGACTCTCTTAGATTCCTCTGGCTCCCAAATTCTAGGAGGCAAATTGGAGCTGCTAGGCAGGTGCTGCACAAGCATTGGGTGTGTATTAGAATGGACAAATGTCACGCTTGGGAAAGTCCTGCTAGCAAATTTACCCAAACTTTAACATGGAGGGAGAGATGATCTTTGTCATCTTGCAACCATCTCTCTGCCCTTGAAGGAACTACTATCTTGGAAACTCTAACTTGTAAAAATGCAAGAGGGCCATGGAGATTTGACTCCCACCATAACACAAATATAATGCATCCGTAAGGCTACTGTGCTGAAGAGAAGATGCACAAAAGTTCTGACCAGAGATTTAGGCTGACTTTGTAAATATAAAACCCTCGGTGCTTTCTAAGTCTTTGAATATACAGTTAACCAATTAGAGTAAAACGTTACAACAATTTGTTTTGCTTTGTCCTGCTTTATCACTTCATACTTTTATGAATCATGTGTTCTTTCCTCTTATCATATAAGTTTTACCACACCCCTCTACACTTGTTTGTGCCAATAATTTAATCTTATTGGCTAAAGTATTTTTTTGTGTTAGAAGAACTAACACACACTTTTGTAAGAGTGGCAATCTTCCTTTCTCTCTGCCACTAGGATAAAATTAGGTTTCACAAGGTTCAACGTGTTCCTCCTCTGTAGGGTAGCTGAGCAATAGTTACTCAGCTTTGCAAGGTTTATTTCCTCTGTGAATAATTAACATTCCCCCCCCCCAAAAAAGTATTTTTAAAATATTTTTTGTGGTTGTCTTATTCAGAAATAACTCAAAATTATGTCATCCTGGTCTTTTGCTTGTGTTTTTAAGCAAAAGCTACAGCTGTCCTTGTACTGTGTGTGTGTCTTGTCTTTTTAAAGCTGGAGAAAAGCAGAACTGTCAGCTACTATTACTTAATAAACCAAGGAATTGAGCATTTAAGTTTTTTGCCGGAGTGAAGACATTTAATCATGCAAATCATGTAATATTTGAGACATTTATAACAATTCCTTGTTTACTAGAAAACGAAATTTAACTGGACTTCCTATGTTTTTATTTCCTAAACCTGGCAACTCTGGTTACTGTTTATCTACTAAACAAACTACAAATAACCTTTTGGTAAAATTTGACATCAAGTGGGCGTTAGCTCAGAAGCACTCCCCTTTGGCGCAGGGGTAAAGGTTTCAAAGTTTTGATTGTGACATCAACGCTATTCAAAAGGTTTCAGATTCATAGATGTGCATCTGGAAGTCCAGCTCAAAAACGGTGGTGAAAAGAAGTAATGACCGGTCTGGGGTTTCTAAAGAAACTTGGGGGACAGCCTTTCCAAAGAGGGTGGATGTAACCGCGCCAGTGTGCTCCGTGGTTCAGTGAGGAGAGCGCGACGCCTGAGCGAGCCAATGGGAGCCGAGCAGGAAAGAGCTGGGCGCGTGAAGCCAATCAGAGACAAGAGGGGTGGGACTGAGACTCCGGAAAGGGGCGTGCCCCCAAGCGCGGGACTCAGCCAATCGGAGCCGAGGGGGCGGGGCTGGGTGCCGGCAGTGGGAGGTCTCGGGGAAGCAAAGGACGGAGTGCGCCTTTCAGCCGCACTTGCATTGTACCTGCACCTACGCTTCTCACCGGCAGGGCGGACGCAGACTCGAAGGGTGACGCGGACCGGGGTGGCACTTGATCCGCTCGTCATGGCCTATCCGGGATACGGAGGAGGGGTGAGTGCTGTCCTCTGCGCGCGGCCACCGCTCTGCGGGGTGTGGCGCCCCTGCTGGCGGTGCCCAGGGACCGGGGCCACCTTCGGCCCCTGAATCTTCGCCGCCTCTTGCACTGCCTCTCGTGCCCGTAGTCCGAGTCCTGGTCCCCGAGGCGTGTCCTTGTGTAGCCAAGAGTGTGATGTGTTTTTAGAAACATCTTTCCTGGAACGGCGCGGGGAAAAGCACCCTTTTCTTGTTCCAGTCATCTGCTGTGCCCCGCCCCCAATGTCTCACTCAGTTTTGCTAGACATCCTCTTTCTGAATTTTTTGACCACTTATTTTCTATCCTTAAGAAGATACGCTAAATATCTCCTAATCTTTACTGTTCTGCTAAGGGCAATCTGTTCTTCTAGACTTTTTTTGGGAGTGGGAGGGTTACTCTTTTCTTACATAACTCTTTATTTTGCATCACTTTTGAGAGTTGGAAATTTTAAGTGCAGTATCCTGGTGGCTAGCTGGCTGGCTTTTCTTCTCAGAAAGTAGCACAATCTTCAGTATTTATGTCAGTGATCTCCAAAGTGGGGAGCACACTTTGTATTAAAATGTGCATGAGGGATAATCCATTGATTGGGCTGTGGGTAGACAATAATATAATTCTAATTTTAATTGTACTTGTTTTTAACCCAGAAAGAGAAATTGAGCTTTACTAATATTTAATATAGGTTTTAGCACTGTCAGATGGCAGTGTTGAAAAGTTGGCCTAAGTTCCTCCTGGCCCCTTCGACTTTAAGATGCCTAACGGTGGGGCTTGGGAAATTTTCACACTGATGTAAAATACAATTTTCACACTGAGGGATGAAGTAGAGACATTGGCTTCTCAACTTGTTTGTTCCTTTTAGCTTAATGCGATATATTACAGTTTATATGTACAGAGTTCTCTGGCGTTGCAGATTATATCATCTAGTTTAACTAAAATTTCTGGGAAGAAACTAGGAATCCAAAATAATATTAAGGATTCAAAAATGTGCAAAACAACGTAAAAATGACATTGCCAACAGCTTTTAAGTCCCAGCTGTTCTTGAGTCACATTACCAGATAATAACTCTGACTATGTAACAGTCAGTGTTGACTCATTTGACACTACCAAGAAGGCAACTTGAAATATGAATTTTTTAAACTATTTTTATGGGTTGGCCTTAATGACTGGGAGCTCCAGTTCTCCATGGGGGTCCTTCTACATGAGTCTTGGCTTCCTTATGCCGGCTTTGTTCTAAGAGAGAAACAGAAAGTGCCTCTTGAAGTCTTTAGCCTGGAATGGACCTTCGTGCAACTTCTGCTGTATCCTATCAGTTACAGCTGAAACAGACCCAGCTTAGATTCAAGGGGATGGAGAAAGTCCGCCTTGCATAGGGGAGACGGCAAAGAATTTTCAATCATCTGTACTCTGACCACGACCAGCTCTCATGTTTTTGGATTTGGGGGCAGTGAATGCTGCGTGTCAGGAAGGAAAGAGAGGTAGAAGGTTATTCATACGGTCAGATTCTTCATGTAATATAGCTTGCCTGACTTTAGTTTAAAAAAATGTGTTCAACTCTCAAGGAACAAATGGAGATGCTATAGTAAAGGGTTCATAGTCATCTTTTGGCATGACCTCAACATTAGCTTTTCACTAATATGCTTAGATTTAGTTTGATCTTGTTTCTTATAAAACATTTTTAGTTTTTCTTCCTGATGTGAATCTTACAGTGGTGAGGGTCTCCAGTAAGCCCTAAATTCCTGGATATGCCCTAACACTTGTTTTCACTCCTTGTCCTGGGAGGTTATTTCTACATGCCCAAAGAGCAAAAGCTTTATGAGTTTTGCTAAGCTGTTCACCTCAGGGTTTAGACTTGTCCTCAGATACTGGCCTGGAAATTTCCTTCCATTGGTAAGATGATTTAAAAATAATATTTTTGCAACATTTGGATTATTTTCATTACTAAGGTTGATTAAATTATCCTAGCCTGCCATTATTAGAAATAGGAAGATTTTTTTCTCCCTTGAGTCAATATTTATAATTTTAGAAGGGCCATTTCATCTACATTTTCCAAATATATTGGTAAAAAGGTATTCATAGCATTGTTAATATATATTTTAAAATTTAAATTCTATTTGTGGTTAAATACTCTCCTTTTCTTTTTTTAAAATATATTTTTATTGATTTCAGAGAGGAAGGGAGAGAGTGATAGAAACATCAACGATGAGAGACTCATTGATTGGCTGCCTCCTGCACGCCCCCTACTGGGGATCGAGCCCACAACCTGGGTATATGCTCTTGAGGGGAATTGAACCTGGGACCCTTCAGTCCCCAAGCCTATACTCTATCCACTGAGCCAGCCCTAGTAGGGCCCTTTCACTATTTGTCAATCTGGTCTGTCCATCTCTTCCTTTCAAAGAAGCAACTTTTAAACAATCACATCTATTTTTTTTTTGCTAATATTGTCTTACTGTTTCCTTTCTTGTACTTCATTGCTTCAGAATCTATATATGTTTTGACCACCTCCTGAGGAAGTTTCCTGGAACTCTAATACTTCCTCCATACTTTTGCTCTTACCACATTCCTGCCCAGGGCTTTTCAGAGTACCTCAAAAAGTCTCTATCTTTTATCTTCTTTGCCCTTTATCTTAATCTTTTTTGCCTCTGGCAATCTCTACTGACCCTTAAAGAATGCAAGTGAAGTTACAAACTAGCAGTTGCAAAATAGTCATGGGAATGTGAAGTTCAGCATAGGGAATATAATCAATAATATTATAATAACTATATATGGTGTCTGCAGGTAGTAGACTTATCTGGGAGATCACTTAGTAAGTTATATAAATATCTAAGCACTACACTGTACACCTGAAACTAATATAATATTAAATGCCAACTGTAATTTTTAAAAAATTTCAAGACAACGCTATATGAAAAAAAGAATGTAAGTGAAAAATATTTTCATTCAAGTACCATATGATTCTGGAATCTAATGAACAAAATGAACTAACAAGCTAAATAGGGACAGACTCACAGACAGATACCAGGCGTCATGACTGGCTGTGGCGAGGGAGCTAGGTGTGGAGGAGGGTGGAGGGATTGAGCAAAAAAGAAAGGGGAAAAAACTCTTGAACACAGACCACAATGTGGTAATTCCCCGGGGTTAGACGTGGGGGAATGGAGGAAGGTGGAGGAGGGTATGGGCGAATAAATGGATGGAAGCTTTTCTTGGGATGGTAAATACAGAGTACAGATGATGTGTTGTAGAATTGTGCACCTGAAACCTGTATAATTTTGTTAACCAGTGTCACCCCAATAAGTTCAATAAAAAGGAAAAAAACACACCCAAAATGGAATAATGAACTATCTTTATACTTCCTTCATACTAAAAAAAAAAACTGAGTAAAGTTATCTTTTTAAAGTTATTAATAATGTGTACCAAGTTCCAATTGAAAAGAAAAGAGGAACCACAGATATAGCAGGAAACAAACAGTAGGTAGCCTCTGGGTCATACTGTCTATTTTTGAATCATGATCTACTTCTTGCTAGTTATCTGACCTTAACCAATTCAGGAAGCCTCCTGAAGTTTCAGGTCCTCAATTGCAAAAAGGACATAGTACTTTTATACCTCATAGGGTTGTTGGAAAATCAAATAACGTAATGGATAGAAAGTACTTAGAACAGTAGTACCTGGGATATAAAAAGCTCTCAAAAATATTAGCTCTGTATTATTATTGTTTGTATTCTTGTTGTTACTCTTAGTTTTGAAAAGGACCATGGTTAGAATTATCAATTTATTGATCTGTTCATTGATTTCTTCCTTAAAAAAATTTTTTTTTTGATGGAGCAGGTATTTCAGTCCTACGCTGTTTCCCTTGATTTATTCACAATTTCATTGTATTTTACCATGCATTCTTCTAAGTATGTGTCTTGATTATACTACTTGTTAGTTTTTCTGTAGGTGAATTTTCTTACACTTTTTATTTTTGTTTATTTTAGTGTTGATTATGGTAAACACTTTTTCAAATTATGTGTATTCATCTATTAGATTGAGTTCTTAGTGGCTAGAGATTTTTTTCTATCACAGTTCTTTTAATTCTGGATAACATGTTAATGAATGGAATTAGGTCCAATTATGGAACATCTAGTATTTTAGAGCTAACAGCTTTTGTGATAGTGAATTTGGAAGCTTTCAATAACTCTGTTTCTGCACTGCAATGGACTGCTCATAAATATTTCTTTTTAAACCAACGTTAGTGGATAATAGGTAGCATTTTGTGATAATAACTTCCTCCTTTTTCACTCTTCTAGTTTGGAAATTTTATTGGTCAGATGCCAGGAATGCAGATGCAGATGGGACCGCCAGTGCCAGGAACAGGACCACAGGTGCTCCCTGGTGGATACCCCGGACACCCAGCTTACTTGAACAATTACTCCTCAGCTGAAGACCCCATGTGGACATACTTTACCGCTGTTGCTGGACAGGTGAGATGCTAAATACATTGCACAAATATCAGTTAAAAATGATTGCTATTTAAAGACATGCCCACTTTTTTTATTTAGTGTATCATTTAAAATGTATATCAAATTTGTATTTTAAACCTTTCTAGACTAATTTTCTTCCTGAGATCAGAGATGAGGGTAGTCATTTTATTTTAAAAAGTCTGTTAGCATGATCCCTGACACATAGTTCATTTAACCAAAAGTGGAACCAGGGTGGTGTGTAGAGAGTGAGCCAGAGAGGATTTGGAAAAAAGAGATCTGCAAGTACAGATTGGTGACATCACTAAGTTGCCATAGAGTCAAGTTCTATCTTGCTCTAGGCGTCTTGTAGAAAACAATAAACCCTTAGTTGTTTAAGCCCCTTTAATAGCATTTTTTATTGTTTGCAGCTAAATGCAATCTTGTTACATTATACCATTCTTATCTGCAAGGAATTTTTGAGTTGTATTACTGAGAATAAACATGTTATCTATAACTTACTATATAATAAATTCATTTTATAAAATTACTATTTAAAACAGGAACTGGACATATATATTTATATATATTTAGAGACTTTTATTTGACTTCTGATCTAACAGTTTTCAACAATGATTTTCTATGTTTGTACTGTTTGATACTTGCCTCAATTTTTCCATAGTCTTGTGCTTTTGTGTAGTTAAACTCCATGAAGAGATGGCTCTTGCAATATTGTCCCCTACCAAGTTGACACTAGGAATATATTAGTCATTCAATACATGTGTTGAATGAGTACATAAACTATTTCATTTTTAATTTTTTAGTTCAAATATTTAGACAATTCTTTCATATGTTGAATTTTGCCTAGCTTTAGGATCAGGTGTAATATCAGACTTACATATTATGCTTCTACAACCCAATTACTGAACTCACCACTATAGCTGTATTCTTTTTTAATAGGCCATATAATTTATGATGCTCTACAAGAAATGCCCAGTTAAAGCTTTCTGCAGTGTTCCTTTTTATAGGATGATGTTTTCTGAACAGTGATGATTTAATCATCAGTTGATTTGAGGAAATTCTGGTTCATACCTTCATAAACACACAAACATACACACATGCACACACACACACACACACACACACACACATCATGAATTTTAATAATAGCAACACCTTTAACTTTAGTGTGCATACTGCTTCCACTTCTGAAGTGGATGCAGAAGAACTTCAGAAATGTTTGACACAGTCTGGAATTAGTGGAACTTATTCTTGTGAGATCCTTTTTATTCCACAGGGCCCCTGCACACATTCCTTATTACCTTTACTCTGCTGTATTTTCCCCTTATCACTTAATATCATCAAAGTAATTTCTTCTTTATTGTCTCTCTCCCACCACTAACATGTAAACTGTATGAAGGTGAGGAATTTGTTTTGAACAATGTTAGATAACTAGTCCTATTAATGGTGCTTGTCCATAGTAGGTTGCTTAATAAATATTTGTTAAATTAATTTCTTATTCTTTCTAAATGGAAGATATTTATTTGGTTACTTCTCTTCATTTTCTTAACATACTTGATTTAATGATTGTTCTATAAAATTAATTTCATCTTGTATGGGTTTGTTCTAAAATAGTTAATTTTTGTTGGTTGTCTTGTTGACCATTAGATTTTTCCATATACTTTCGACTTTTGGTTCATAAACTTGTTTTGCTTGGAGTTCTTGTGTATTTCCTCCCTTCTTTTGGTCCCCCTTCCATGTTATCCCTTTCCTTCCCCATGTCACCCTTCCTTGTGTAGTGGTTTTGTGATTGTCCCCACCTCGATTGTGTCCACAATTTAAAATATGGCTGATTTTTTTTTAAAAAAGAACTATTTTCTAACTACAGAATTTAATTTTTTAAAATGTATTTTTTATTGAAATTTTTTGTGTGACATTGGTTAATACAATTATATAGATTTCAGGTATACAGTTCTATAATATATTTAAAATTATGTAAACAAGATTAGAAAAACATGCATGACAGACAGACAACCATTTAGATGCTGTGTAGTACTAAACAGTACTACATGGTTGGTTTATTGAGAAGAAGTTTTCATATAAGGAAATCTAAGCTAAAGATCAGAATATGAATGTTTATAATAATTCTTAGCCATAGTTTTTCAGTTTTTTTGTTGTTGTTTCTTTGGTCCTACAAAGTACATTTTAAATTTGTCCCCTTGATCCTTTCTCAGAGCTATTGTTTGGCATTCGGACAATGTATTTGATGCCTCCAAGTAAATTATTCTCCTCTACATATTTTTTAAAATAGAAAATAGGATGAGGTACTGAAACCTGAGACTCCTCAACCTGTTTCACTTTCATTGTGATTTCTTATTTGTATTAAAAACATATTTTCCATAAGTTCAAGCCAAGAATGTTTGGGCAATAATCAGAAGATTACTAACAAAATGTACAGAACTCTAAAATTTTGCTGGGGGTAATAGTTTTGGAGGGAAAATATATTTTCTTCTTCAATATTCATTAGAAATAATCTCCCCCCAAAATAGGCATGAAAGGAAAGTTTTGAGATTTTTTTTTAAAAATTCCATTGTAGGTATTTTTCCAGTTACTAATTTAAGTAGAGGTCCAGTGTTTCCCCCAAGATATTATTTTGAGCTATTATTGTATAGAATGATTATGCCATTTCCTAGAAGTAGGAAAATTAAATTATATTTGAGATGCTTCAAAAATTAATAGATTATAATTCCATTGTGAAAAATTATTTATAGTTCATGATGTTCTGTAATAGGCCTTTGCTATAAAAGTCATCTATTATTTTGTAGTTGATAATAGAGTAATATTGTGAAGAATGCATATTTATTGATTGGTCCAAATCAGTGGTTCTCAACCTTCCTAATATAGTTCCTCATGTTGTGGTGACCCCCAATTTCATTGTTACAAATTGAACATAATTAAAGCATAGTGATTAATCACAAAAACAATATGTAATTATATATGTATTTTCTGATGGTCTTAGGCGACCCCTGTGAAAGGGCCGTTTGACCCCAAAGGAGTCGCAACCCTCAGGTTGAGAACCGCTGGTCTAGATGGACAGTTAGCATTTAATGTGCATTTATACAACTGTACATTAAATCAAGTTATAATTATTTTAACAGGATGGTGAAGTGGATGCAGAAGAACTTCAGAAATGTTTGACACAGTCTGGAATTAGTGGAACTTATTCTCGTGAGATCTCCCCCCCCCCCCATTGAAATTGGAATAGGAAATTCATATCCTAACATTTTGTACCCATACTTACACTACTTTATAATTTTTTTAATCACAGATATACATACACATAGTTTAAAGAGTCAAATAATTCTTCAAAGTTTGTTATGAAAATAACTGTTCATTGTTCATTGCTCTCTCCCCAGTGTTAACCGCTCACAGATGAAATATCTTTCAACTTTCTCAGCTGATTGTTTTGAAATTTGCCTCCAGATTTCAAAACAGCATGCTTTTTAAATCACTATTGCTTTTCAGTTTTAATGATTATCAGTGGAGGTCTACTATGGAGCATGAGGATTTAACTCTCAACCTTAAACTCACCCTTGTCCCTGCCCTCCACACAGGAGCCCTACCCAACTTCCCATCCATTCAGCACAGCGATACAATAATTTACGTTAGGTCGACAATCAGTATTTGCCTTTTTGTTACTATCTAAATGCTCTTCTTATGTCTTGTGATAGGTATGATTAATATCCATTTTACATAACTTTCCTTTCCTGAAATTAATCATCATCTTGGAGCTTCCTATTGTGCTCTACTCTCTGCAGAGCTGTCACACTGGCATTTCATCACCATTGTTCGGGAGCTATCTTTCTCTCTCTGGAGTTGGATCTTCCCTTTATTTCATCTCTTGTCATTAATTCTATAAAGTATAACATTAGCTTCCTATTAAAAGAGTACATGGGAGGTAAATTTTTTTGAGGCTTCATCTGAAAATGCATTCATTCTGTCCTCAGAATTAAATGAATGGCCAGGTGTAGAATGCTGTTACAAGTAATTTTCACTTAGAATCTTAAAGGTACCATTGTTTCTAGCTTCCATTGTTGCTCTGTCTTTCTGTGTCCTGCCTATATGTCATATGTCTTTCCTCTCTTGAGGCCTGTGAAATGTTTGTTCCTAGTCTGATGGTTCACAGTGATGTGCTAGTTGTGTTGTGTAGGGAACTCAGTAAGTACCCCCCAGTCTGGGACTCATTTGCTTTAGTTCTGGGACGTTTTCTTCAGTGATGTTTTCTCTGTTTTCTCTTTCTAGAATGCCTGTTATTTGGAATGGATCACTTATTTTCTCCTACTTCTTCTTTTCCTCTATTTTGGGAGGACATTTCCATATCTTTATTTTCTAGACCTTCTATTGAGTCTTGTTTACTGCCATGTTCTTAAAATCCAAGAGCATCTGTGTGTTTTTTTTTCCTTCATGAATGTGATAGCTTCCATGATCTCTCTGAGACTTAAAGTTTCTTTCTACATAACCTTTGTTTCCAACAGATTGCTTCTTCCCTCCCCTCCTCCCCATCTGTTTGTCTTTTATATTAGATGCTTTTCTCAGGTGTCTGGTGATCCTGGGATGCTCATTTTTAACTAAAGGCTGGTTAGAAGCTGTGAGGTCATGGTTAGGTGCTGATTGTAGAGCTCTGTGTCTGATGGTTAGGCTGGGCAGTTTGGTGTGCAACACTGGGAGTTAGTATCTTTAGGGTTTCCTTTTGGGCTGGTTGTCCAGCTGATCTTCTGTCTGGAAAGGAGGGGGAAAGAATCAGCAGGGCTCTCAGTCTTTTGTAAATTTTCATTTAATTGCCAGCTAGGTAACCCTGTTCTGGAATCCTGCAATCTAGAGACTTCTCCGGGGAACAAAACCCCAGACTTCTGCTGAGGTGGGAGCAGACATAGCCTTCCACTGAACTGAGGCCAGGAGGGGATTTAGAGCTCTAAATGCTCCTTAAGTAGACATTCGGTCACTCCTGTTTTTATCTTATCTTCACCCATTTACAGAAGTATTGCCAATTCTGAAACTTTTGGGGTCTTTTCCAGGATAAGTAGGCTGCTTCTCCTGTTCTTATTGCAAGTTCAGGAAAACACTTTCTCATAACTTAGGTTAGTTAACTCACATCCATCTACTTTTCCAACTTGCAAAATTTGGTTCCTTTGTTTCTTCTCCCATTCTCTTTTTCTCTAAAGGTTTATGACTTAAAAAAAAATCAATTTACTCTCTATTCTAATGGAATGTGGTGAGAGAGAGAGGAACTCTTATCAATTTTCCTGAAAATTCTCTTCATTCTTTGTCAAAATATTTAATCTGATTAAATGTTTATGTTTATGTGAAATCACAAAACACACACTATCAGCTCATAGTAAGTGCTCATTGAGTATCTGCTGAAATTGTCAGCCTGAAAATACTGTAACCACCTATTCTAACATTAATTAAACATTTAAAGAAAATCAGCTACTAAAGCTTGTGGGATGTTTTACAATTTTTTTTCTTAATGGATCTAAAATTTAGCTGAAATCATTTGTTTCTTTATAGAATTTCAAAAATATCAAATAGCATAAAATAAGTCAACTTAATTTTAAGTATTTTTATTTATTTATTTTTATTTTAATGAGCTATTAGCTATGAGAACTTTGTAAGCTTAACTGTGCTGATATAATGTTTTATTTATCAGGGCTATGATATAGTCTTGAATAAATCACATACTAATTGAATGCAATTACAGTAAGGATTTGAGAAATTAAATTCTATTTACTGAGTCCTCAGTTATGGTTCTATAATTACAAAAGTGTTAATATTTCTAATAAACCCTAATTTTAAGATAGTTTTTATTTATTCCTTCTTTCTTTTCTTGCCCCCCTTCCTCATCCCCAAGGGGGGGAAAACATTTGCTTCAGTTTAGAAACTTATCTTTTCTTACTTAATCAAATTACAGTAAAACTATCAAATGATTTACCTACATCCATTTTCATCTCACTTTACAGTCTATTCAGGGTAAACTAATGTTTCTGAAATGAAGATTTTAGAATTGTCCCTCTGCTTAAAATCCTTCAGTGACTTCCATTGGTCTAAATCTTTAGGTTGGCATTTACGACTTTCATGATCTAGCCCTCATCTGTCTTTCTGATGTCATCATATGCAACTCCCTCACATATACCCCAGGCTTTAACCAAATTGCTAACTCCTTTAAGTTTTGTGATTTTAGTATATGTCAAATGCCTACTTAAACTCCACTTGTCATTTGTATTAGGAAGACTAAAGCCCTCCTCCATGTGATAGCAATTTTCAGTTACTTTATGATTGCTTATTTAATCATCTCAATCCCCTTATTAGATATGATTAGATTGAAGGTAGCAATTTTTTTTTATGGATGGCTAATGTTTTAAATTTGCTGATTAGGGTGACTGTATATTTTTGGCAATTTTGAATGTTTTAAGTTAACAACAGAAATTGTCATAATCTTACATAGATTAAATTGTGCAGACTCTAATTCAAATAATAAATATGTTTTACAGCCTTCAGTTTGGAAACCTGCAGAATTATGATTGCCATGTTGGATGTATCCTTGAATAAAAATAGCAAATACTATTGAATAGTTGCTTTTTCATATTAAGGCATTTGTTGATTATAGATTACCACAGTAAGCCAGAGTTTAAAAATGCTTTGTAAGATCCTGTTTGAATTCCATACTTTTCCAATATGCCGAATTTAGCTAACTCTTGCAGAAGCATCCTAACGTGTGTGTGTGTGTGTGTGTGTGTGTGTGTGTGTGTGTGTGAATGATTTGGAGTTTTGGGTTAAGTAAATTCTCTTTGGTATCAATTTCATTTTTGTTAATAAAACTATCAGAGAGATTACACAGGAAAAATGGGATTTAATGAATTCAAAGAACTTTGGACAGCTCTTAATGCCTGGAAACAAAATTTCATAACTATTGATCAAAACCGAAGTGGCACAGTGGAGCATCATGAGTTGAATCAAGCCATTGCTGCTATGGGTAAGAATATTAAAATTCTTTAGCATCCATCCAGGTTATCTTTGTTCTTTGATCAGATGAATCTTAATTGTTTTAATTTTTTAAGTAATAAAGGGATATATTATTTCACCTAGATTGATTTCAAGGTTGTAGGTAAATTCTGACTAAGGACCTTTAACAACAACAAAAACCATTTTATTCACTATTTTTTCAAAAGATGAACTTTCATACATACTGGATGATAAAGTAACTTCTGAATTTTCTCTGCTGAGCATATTTAAATTTATTCCTCTAATTATTAGTTCTCACTTATTATTTATAGTATTCTTTTGTATCTTGGTAAGACCTCCAATTTGATAATCTAGTTTTTCAGCAGTAAACACCATGGTTTTTGTTTTTGTTTTTTTCTTAAGTAGCAGAGAATACACAGTAGATGCCAAAATACTCCAAATTAGAAGTATGCATTTTAGAATATTTTAAAATAATTTAATGTTATTTTTTATCAATCTCTGATAAGCTAAGGTTCTAAGTCTACTTTCTTTCAAAAAGTGATTATATACAATGGTGTGTAACTTGCTTAAAGTTAACGACAGTTTTCAGTAAATTTAAGTGTGTTTCTCTTTATGATTTTATTTATACTCATTTCTAAACAAAATACATTTATAAGAAAATTAATTTCTTGAAAGTTAAAATCTGAAACCAATATAAATTATCTCAAATTCTAATTTAAAAAAGTAAAAACTAGTTATTTTCTTTGTTTTATAAATGGACATTTTAATTTAATAAATGGTGATTTTAGGGATAATCCTGGCTATATAAACATGTACTATAGTTTATAGAGCCTTAATAATTAATGGATTAAACTTGTTCCTTAATTCAGCATAATATTGCAAAATTAATATAACCTTTTGCAAAAAAGAAAATAGCCAAACAATTCACATAGGCATCCTATATAATAAAAGCCTAATATGCTAAGTGTCTGGTCATCCAGTCGTCCGTTCAACCAATCAAAGTGTAATATGCTAATGATATGCTAAGGCCGCTCAACCGCTCGCTATGCTGTGCACTGACCACCAGGGGGAAGATGCTCTGACTGGCAGGTTAGCTTGCTTCTGGGATACAGCTGATTGGGACTGAGCAAGATGGGCCAGACACACTCTGGAGCCTTTCCATGGTCTCTCTCCAGCTGGCCAACCTCCCATGTCCCTCCCTGGCCCTGATTGTGCACCGGTGGGGTCCCTTACCCTGGCATGCACCCTTTCGCAATCCAGGACCCCTTGGGGGAAGTCGGAGAGCCGGTTTTGGTCCGATCCCACAGGCCAGGCCGAGGGATCCCACTGGTACACGAATTCATTCACCAGGCCTCTACTATATAGATAAACTTGCTTAATTAGACCTGCTTTCTGATTTAGCTAAACTTTTTCCAGCCCAGTGAAGCACCCCAACTTCTCTTTCAGGTAATTGTCAGCAATATGCAGTAAATATCAACATGAAGCAGATTATTATTGTAGATCCCGCAGGGAGAACAAAGGGTAAAATATTTAGCTGCAGCAGTGTTTGACTATATTTTGCACAGTGAGAAAACATGAAGTTATTTTCAGGGTCCACTATTTCTTCTTTTCAGTCGAGTCAAGTTTCTGAGCTTTCTAAATCTCCATTTTCCGGCTAATGAAAAGAAAATAGGATTCCAACGAGTCTCCTATCTACCTATTCCAGGACTTCTGTGAGGATCAAATGAGATGAGGCACGGGAAAATGCTTCCCAGACAATTGGTTAAAGTGTAAAATATTTCCACCTAGCTATAAAGCAAGTCGTGTTCCTGGACTGAAGAAACCCCAAGGAGGCTAGTTGCTAGGGAGAGGAAATTGGGCATTGCTATGTGATGTCATTACCTGGCACCCACAGCCACTGTTTCTGGGCTGGGCTGTGGGCTGCATTGTGCACCGTGGGGTCTCAGCAGCGTCGGCTGCGATTTGGTGGGCTGTCACTTTGGGGTGGTGGTGGGGCCTGTGTCCCACTTGGGGGAAGCCGAGTATTGCTTTGTGGATGCCAGGTCCGCAGTGCCATTTCTTTGTAAATAGCCAGTGTGCATCACAGCAGCTCCTGCATTGAGCGTCAGCCCTCTGGTGGTCAGGGTGTGTCATAGCATCTGGCTGAACTGTCAGACACTTAGCATATTAGCCTTTTATATATATAGAATATATGTTTTAATTCTCACCCAACGATTTTTTTTTTCATTAATTTTTAGAGTAGAAGTTGAGGGGGGAAGACAGAGAGAAACATCATTCTGAGAGAGACACATCAATTGGTTGCCTCCTGCACGCACCTTAACCAGGGCCAGGGATAGAGCCTCCAACCGAGATATGTGCCCTTGACTGGAATCAAATTCGGGACCCTTCAGTCCACAGGCCGAGGCTTTATCCACTGAAAAAAACTGGTTAGGGTTCAAAATATATTTTTTAAATCACAAATAATATTTTTTTTAGCTTTGACTTTATTAGAAAGCTAGATTTGTGATATTCATGTACCACTATTAATAATTAACAGTTGCTTTGATCAATTTCAGTATGAATGTGTTTTGTTTCTAACATTGTGCTTTGTTCTTAACACGTTTTTTATGGAATGCATTTTGAAAGTTAATTTATTTATGACTATTAACAAGAATGCAGTGTTTGTTGTGGTGTTATGTGCTTAGTATTAGAAGATGTAATTTATCAATCTCTTTTTTTTAGGTTATAGGTTGAGTCCTCAAACCTTAAGTGCTATTGTTAAACGTTATAGCAAGCATGGCAGGATCTTCTTTGATGATTATGTGGCTTGCTGTGTGAAGCTTCGGGCTTTGACAGGTATGGACCATTAACTAGTAAAAGTGGGTACAGTTATTTTTCTTAAGTAATGTTTGTTGCTTTCTCTAGCAAGTTTATATTATGTTTTCCCCTTTATTCACTATTAAATTAATCAGAGTGGTAGGCTTTAAAATTTTTGAAATATACGTAGTGAAAAATTGTTATACTCAGTTTTGGAGGTTTTTTCTTGTCTGAGATGCATAATCACTTAAGATTTAATTGAGTATGAAATTATTAATATTTTAGTACCTGGGGACACCAAGTATTTGAAACTATAGATTTTTCAGTTATAATAAAAAAGTAATTTGTTTGTTTAAAGATTTCTTTAGGAGAAGAGACCACTTGCAACAAGGAGTTGTGAATTTCATATATGAGGATGTGAGTATCTTGTGTAAACTTTTGATATTTATCCTGTGTTCTAGAAGTGTTCATGGTTACCAAAAACTATCAAGTGATTCCTGGTACCAACACTGGGAATAATATATTTTGTAGGCCATGTTCTTTTTCAATAAGATTAAATATTGGTACAAATACCAACTTGACTTTATAGTAAACATAAAAAATATTTTAAAATTTTATTATAGGTTTCTGGCAGTTTTTCTTCCAAATCATTTTAAAGGGTAAAACTACCATTATTTTTATGAAGAGTAGTTTACTTGTGGTGATCTTTCTTAGTTCTAATAGAGATAGGAAATTTTCATATATAATAGATTATAAAACTATTCATTTCTCATTTCAGATAATTTATTAACCTGAATCCAGTTTTTTAAAAAATTGATTATATAAGAAAGTTATATTTCAAATGTGTTCCGATGTTTTAGTGTGTTTTTTTTTGTTTTGTTCTTATGTGAAAGTTATAGGGTCGACATTACCCTACTAGCATATACTGGTTGAATTATAAATCTTGGAAAATCAAAGTTTCTCATCTTGTGAAAATACTTTTATGGAATATAATTAATAAAAAAATAAACACGATTTTATTGTTACCAGCTGATGATTTTGCTTATTTATTAGTTTTTGCAGGGCACGATGGCAATTTGAATATCTAGAATTTGAAAACTAAAGAAATACTGTGAATGTTTCTGCTTGGAAGAAATGAACTGGAATACTTTAAATTAAAGCTTTTGGGGCTTTTCATGTTTCTACCTATTAAATCTATTCCCTTTATAATATACATATATATATATTATACATCTAGTAAAATGTGTTTTTATTTTAATGCACAATTCAAAGCAATAAAAGAGATGCTTTTGTATTTGGGATGTTTTTGCTTTTAAAGAAGTTTTCTCTTGATGGATATCTGTATAATGTCATCAAATATTGGTATATGATTAATTGATGTATATATGTCTTGCCTTAATTTGAACAATATAAACTTGGAAGAATGTACTTATGAGATTATATAAGAAACTAAATGATGAGAGCCTAGCTAACACTGACTTAAACTTATCTGAAGGTTACAGATTTTGCTTTCAGGTTTTGTTTGTAGTTGTTGGTGTTTGAAGGTAAGCTAGAGGGGCAGTCCTGGATTTCGTGCCATATTCGTCATAGGGTTTGTTCTTATTCACATTATCAGAGAACAAACTCCCAGATCTTTAACTGTGAAGAATAAAATTGTAGTTCCTAAAATTTTATCTTAAATCATCTTAGGTGGAGCATAAAATAACCTATAGTGAAATAAGACTACAGGAGACATCATTTTTCTTTTTTTATTCAATATATTGTATATTTTTCTTCAACATGTCTTATTGTTTTCTATGGGAAAAAAGTTCTTAATAAACAACTTTTCTCTCTGAACTTTATTTTGTTACTAAAAACAAAGATAACCTCAAATGACATCTTTTGCTACATCTAGATTTTTCTGGAAATGACATTTTTAATGAAATGTCAACATTTAAACTTATTCTATTAAACTAAATTATTGTTTATACATAATGCCAATTGTTAAAAAATCAGATAATTTTCCACTTTGTTTAAATGTTCAGAAATTATAAATTTGACTTTCTTGACGACGTTAACTGCTGGCTTTGGCATTAGTAAACCAATATGTCTTTTGAGCGCATCTGTGTCATGTGGGGTACGGAGCATGGTAGACACCACAGCAATATTGCTGTGTGGTATTACTATGGAAATTTCAAAGTTGGGCCACTAGGATTTTAGCATTTAAAAACCCCTGGAATAAGCTGCTATAATGAAGCAAGCCCCTTTTTTGGCCACACCTTAAGTCTTTCTCAATGAAGGTTTAATAAACATACTTTATCCGAATCTCTTCCTCAGCTTAAAGGTAAATAACAGTAGTCCCCCCTGATCCAGAGTGATACATCCCAAGATCCCCAGAGAATGCCTGAAACCACAGATAGTACCTAAATATACTGGTTTTTTCTATACACACACAGTTGTGTTAAAGTTTCATTTATAAATTAAGCACAGTAAAAGATCAACCAGAGTAAATATAAAATAGAACATTATAACAATATACTGTATTAAAAGTTATGTGAGTGTGGACTCTGTCTCTCTTAAAATAATTTACTGTACTGCACGTCCCAGGAGGGATGATCTGGGACAACTCGAGTTTTCTTCACACTAGTCAGAACAGACGCAATTTAAAACTTAGGAATTGTTTATTTCTGGAACTTTTTATTTTATGTTTTCAGTACCTGATCTCAGGTACTGAAACCAGGATATGGGGGCAGTACTGTACAAATTGATATAATTTTAGTATGGTGAGTGACCAAGTAAATATATAGTTTTTATAAAACTTTCTTTTTTTAAAGACTATATCTTTATTGATGTCAGAGAGGAAGGGAAAGGGAGAGAGAGATAGACACATCAATGATGAGAGAGAATCATCGATTGGCTGCCTTCTGCACGCCCCCACTGGGGCTCAAGCCCATCACCCAGGCATGTGCTCTGACTGGAAATCGAACAGTGACCTCCTGGTTCATAGGTTGATGTGTAATCACTGAGCCACACCAGCCAGGCCAAAACTATGTTTCTTAAAAAATGGAGGATTAACAGTAGTACTTGAAAAAAAATAAGTTGAAAGGACGTAATTATAGTCATTTAATTATGTCAATGATAATTTTACATAATTAGCTATCAAATTCATTTGGTCAGTTTTATAAAAATATGTGTATAAATAACCTGTATAATTTTATCCTCTAGCTGTTAATTTTTTTCTTGAACATATATTTGATAATGTGAGAGGGCATTAACTGAGCCATAGAAAATATAGAATTTTAATAAAATAAATTGAAGTTAATATTGAAAAAAATACAGAATTTTAAATAGAAGTATTGTAGTAAAAGCTAATGTAAACACACTGTATATCATTCCCATACAATAAAGATGTTAATATGACTCAGCAGTCTAGAATCTTAATATCCCACTTACAGGTAGTCAAGTTACAATGCTCTTCTGAGGTCAATTATAATTTTCCTTACTTGGAGTCTCCTAGTTGAGGTAAGACTTTTAAAAATGACATGTGATGTACCTATAAGTTTCTGCCAAATGACATTTTGTATTAGAAGTCTTTACAGAGTTCCCTAACTCCAATTGTCAACCTTTTTCATCTCATGGCACATACAAACTATTAAAATGCTGTGGCACACCAAAAAAAATATTTTTTTTTGCCGATCTGACAATACAAATAGGCATAATTTTGATTCATTTACACCGGACAATGTTGGCTGTTGTCATTTTTTATTTGACACTCTAAGGCAGGAGTGGGGAAAGGCAGGCAGCGAGCCGTATAAGACCCACAAATTCATCTGGTCTGGCCCTGCCAGGCATTAGGGGTGAGTTAATTAAATGTTTGACCAAATATAGCAGCCTAATTTTTAAGTTGATAATTTTGTAAGGTCGGAGATTGATGATATAAATATCCAAGTGGCCCTTGGCAGAGAAAAGGTTCCCCACCCCTGCTCTAAGGGGAAAGGTCAGTGCCCTGACTAAATAGTCAGGTATTGCATGTTTTTAAATGTTCTTGTGGCACACTGCCTGAAAACTGCTGCTCTAACTCATCCTTTTCTATAGGTATTCCTGTGCCTTTGGTGTTAGGAGGTCTTTAAGAATGAGTTTCCATGGCCAGACATAGTTGAGAAATTCTCATCCTCCTCAGGGAACTTGAGAAATCCCAAGGCACATACAATCCTGTTAATTTTATTTGACCTAGTTTATTCCAGATTCTTTTGGACACAGAACCCTTTTCCTAGCAAAATAATTTTCCAGCCAATCCAACTTCATTGTGAGACAACTCCTTTGCATTTTAATTAAATAGATAATCTTTTGAAAACATTAGACAATAGAGAATATTTCACTGGGGTTTTTACACTGAAATGCAATTCACTCAGTTCACTCAATGTTTTTAAGATAATTGATGCAAACCAACATCCATCACTAAAGTAATAATTAAATAGTTTTATGATAAACATGACTGGAATATTAATATGTCATATTAATATAATAGTTTGTACTGGTTAATTCATGCTCGATCTTCTTATGATATAAATTATTGAATAATGTACACTCTTAATTCTAAGTGCTTTTATTTATACAGTACACATGTTTCCATGTCATTTGAGAATTTTTTAAATAAACATTCAAATAGCTTGCTGTAAATTTTAGTATCATACAAAATCTGTTACATATATATTATGAGATGCTTCGATTCAAATAACAGTGCAGTAATTCACCTGTGCCTAAAAAACTGACAAATAATTAAATGTCAGGTATTCCACTTCTATTTTCGGTGCCAGTTTACACATTTTAAGTTACATAAAAGGGAAATCAATACTATTAGAGTGTTAATTTGGTCCACTTTAAATGTAATCTTAAGGACTGTGCTCATTTGATCTATTTAAGCATGCATTCAGAAACAAAAAGTCATACAAATATCAAGTGATATGTTTATTTCCAGAAAAGACATTTACCCTGGAAGAGAGTAGAATTTATGAATGTAGTTTAAAGTCTGTGCAATTAAAAAAGTCACAAAAACATCAATTTGTGATTATTTCTTTAAATAAAATATACAAATCAAGTTCACTTGTAATCTTTGGGCATTACTAAACTGGACAAACAAAATAGATACTGTTTGTCAGAAATGTGCTTTTCTATCTCTTTTTATGTTTGACAACTTCATGGAAGATATGTATTCTATATGTAGCAGTTTTCTGAGAAATTAATAGCAATAAATTTGTGGAAAATCTGGTAAATTAAATCTATTAAGTAAAAACTTGACAATGCAACCATGGGTGTTTTATTACCTTAAAATTTGTATTAAAAGATCACAAATTTTTTTGGTCTTAATGCAGTCATGTACGCAGTAAATTAAGCACTTTGAAATAAATGTACAATGTTAAGGTATCTAAGAGTATGTCTCAACTTCATAATAATATTAGGTAATGCAAAAAAATTTTGAACTGTTACAGTGATGAATGCAAAAAGAATCTTAAATGAGTATTTTTCAAATATTTGTGGTCTAGAATAAGGTCATGATGTCACATATGTACATATATTAAAATCATTTTGTAATTTAGAATACTGAGCACAAAATTTCCAGCAAAACACCGGAAAACATATGAAAAATTTCTGCCTGACTCACTATCAGCTCATTATTGAGTACTGGGAAATCTTGTGCTTTTAATTATTTCTTGCCATCTTTTTCTACTTATTTTTAAAAACATATTTTACTGGCATATAAAAGAAGAGCCTTATGTTACTTAACATTCCTTTTACCCAAGTTGCTTGGTAATGTGCAGCTTTGTATATTTGCGAGCATTCAAAACTCAGATGTGCTTCTATATATCTGAATAGATAGTAAGTAGACATTGGCAGCACTTCTACATAACTATGATGTGCGTAGAGTTAGGGAAGGAGGGGGTCCTTGCCTATGTGCTACTTACTGTTTTAAGGTGCACCCCTTTTGCAATATCAGAGATGGCGGCAATTTGGAAAGTTTACAGGGAATGAGAAGAATTGGGTTTAGGTCATCATGTAACAGCTTGCCAGGAATGAGTACCTTCTGATGACATTGTTGGGGAGGGGAAGGGAGTGTTCAACTTTTTCTATTAAGCATAATAATATAAATATGCACTTTACAGATGCATGCATACAGCCATTTGCATTTTAGTTGACCATATTTAATCACATTTTATCTTGCTATGATTACTGAAATCTCAAAGGATAACCTGAACAGTGCTAGTATGATTGTCCTAGAAACATACTAACTAAAGATCCGTATTCTTTTGAAAATTATAGGCCATTTAAAAATGATTTTAGGATTAATTGAACTTTTGGATGCATATTTCATTCCCAATGCTATCTAAATGTAGGACTCCCCAATTTGTTCTTATAACAAAAGACTTTAAGTTTTTAAACATTAAGCTTTTTCATACTTTGAATCTTATTTTATAATCAGCCTCACTGATCAATACAGCTTTCTTCTAAACTGTATTTGGTTTATTTTTTCACTTATCAAATAGGGAAATGTTCTCTTGGATTTTTAAACCTTAAAAATGAATGGTAGGGATTCTAAACCACTAAACAGACTAAACAATTCTTAGCTTAGAAAATTTCCACATCATGACCAACAAATTTTATTTAAAAGTTTTACTTGAAGATAGTTTGATGTTTTTCTTAAATAACAGATTAATGATTCCAGGGGTGGAGGGGGAGAGAAGAAGAGAATTAAGAATGTATGAAACTTAAGCAAATGAAAATAATATTCTCTGGATATTTTCTTCTTAATGCAAAAAAATGAATCAAACATACATTATAATAATTTTGTTTCACATGTA